GATTATTTATATTTTAAATTTAGCCTCTTAATACCAGGCACATCTCGTGATGCTCTACACCAGGGGTGGGCAACGTCTGGCCCGCGGGCCGTATAAGGCCCCGCAAAATCATTTGGTCTCTGGCCCTGCCAAGGCAACCGCAGGCGGGGCTCGAAATTCAATAAATCTGGGAGCAAACCTGGAAAAGCAGTTGCGAGTAGCAACATCATCAATACCAGCTGACAACATCAATACCAGCTAACATCATCAATACCAGCTAACATCATCAATACCAGCTAACATCATCAATACCAGCTAACATCATCACACGCCTCACCCAAAGAGAAGCAGTTCCAGCCATCACATTAGGGGTGAGTTAATTAAATGTTTGACCAGGCTAATTTTTAAGTTGATAATTTTGTATAGCCCGCCAATGATGTTATAAATATCCAAATGGCTCTTGGCAGAAAAAAAGGTTCCCCGCCCCTGCTCTAGAGGAACAACTCCTAGCTACACGACATGACGTGGAAACTTCTTGCCACGGTGGCCGAGCACAAAACACTAAAACATACAAATACCATTGCGGTAAAAATGTACAAAATCATTCAGACCAAACTACACTCTCCGGCCAGGCTAATAGATGTACACCATCTTATAGGGGGGGGGGGGCGACCTATTTACCAGATAGCTGCAATGTACATATGTATGTTGAACTTCTTGCCCACCGTATGGAGCCAACCGTGCTAATTTGAGGTGCTGGGGGAAAGGATAACAAACTAAACACAGAAAGCAGTTCTCAAGAAATACTTTTCAATTTAGATGATTTAAAAGTGCATAGCTCCAGTGGCTTGATGGTGAGGTTGTGATGATGATGATGATCATAAGGTGGTGATGATAAGGAGGTTGTGATGATGGTGATGATTTGGTGATGACGATAATGATGGTGGTGATGATAATGATGGTGGTGGTGGTGGTGATGATGGTGGTGATGATGGTGATGGTGGTGATGATGATGGTGGTGGTGATGATGATGATGGTGGTGGTGGTGATGATGGCTTGATGGTGAGGTTGTGATGATGATGATGATCATCATGAGGTGGTGATGATAACGAGGTTGTGATGATGGTGATGATTTGATAATGACGATAATGATGGTGGTGATGATGATGATTTGGTGATGACGATAATGATGGTGGTGATGATAATGATGATGGTGGTGATGATGATGATGGTGGTGGTGGTGATGATGGTGATGATGATGTTGGTATGTACTTCAGCACCATATGTAGCCAGGACAGCAATCACCCTTCAACGGCCCCAAGTCGCCCTAAGTGGATGTACACTCGCTCGGGAGGAAACTCTTGAGTGCGAACGACAACAATGAGACGGACTGGATGGCGCGTCTTTTCTTCGGCACGTTAGTGTCAAGGTTCATCGTCGTCGTATTGATTTCAAAATCTTGTTTCACGTTCGTCTCGGCTTGACTGGCTCTGTCTCTTGTTGTCGCTCATTTGTTCTCTCTTGTTAGCCTGCAATGTAACATAATTTGCTTGTAATTGTCACGAATCATGAATAATTGATTTTCAGACACACACACCCATCTCAATGCCAGCATCGTTGGCATGAGAATTGATTTGCATCAATGCATCGATGGCTTTGTTAAATGCATGGGGATTGTTATTATGAACGATAAGTGGAACAACCTTGTATCGGATTTGAAATCCAGAGGTTGGTGATGCAATCTCCCGCGCGGATTCTATGGTGCACCGCAGTTAGTCTATGTCCACGTATGGTGGGGTAAAACGTGGGTATTCCCACTCTCCCAAGACGCCTGACCAGAATGGAAGAGTAGACCGATACCCTCGAGAGAGGCTCTTGAGACTTCCCTCTGGTGATGGTCCTTCTGGCAGCGGTGGTGTGAGCTGTGTTACATTTAAGACGTACTTTTTAGACTCATTTAACTCTTGCTTGGTTAAAAATAAAGGACATGATCTTGGTGATTATCAAGCTTTCAAGTTTTATTTATTAGGTATAGGCCTGTGAGCCATGCGGCTCTTGAGTTGGGTGCAACCGCAACAAACAAAATTATAATTTATAGTCTGTAATTTTATTTATGATGATGATATGATGATAATGATCATTAATAGTCAGTAACTTTATTTTATGATGATGATAATGATAATTAATAGTCAGTAATTTTATTTTATGATGATGATAATGATCATTAATGGTCAGTAATTTTATTTTATGATGATGATAATGATCATTAATGGTCAGTAATTTTATTTTATGATGATGTCAATGATCATTAATAGTCAGTAGTTTTATTTTATGATGATGACAATGATCATTAATGGTCAGTAATTTTATTTTATGATGATGATAATGATCATTAATGGTCAGTAATTTTATTTTATGATGATGATAATGATCATTAATAGTCAGTAATTTTATTTTATGATGATGATAATGATCATTAATGGTCAGTAATTTTATTTTATGATGATGATGATAATGATCATTAATAGTCAGTAATTTTATTTTATGATGATGATAATGATCATTAATGGTCAGTAATTTTATTTTATGATGATGATAATGATCATTAATAGTCAGTAATATTATTTTCAACCTCTCAATTTGCAATGCCCCTCCAAAGCTGTTGGTGGTGAGCCAACTGCGGTGTCTTTCCAGCTCGTGGCTCCACTTTGACGGCCCTTGTCTCTCGGTTTTACAATCTCTGTTTTGCCGAGCTCAAGGAGAAGGCAAACACAAGGAAGGCAACGGTCAGAACACATTGTGTGATAAAGATTTGCTTCTCTGGAGAAATTAATTACAACGTTCAACAAACATTGCGCAAAAAGTGTGGGGGGAGGGGGACTAGTTAAATCAACAGATGAAAACAAACATTATATTAATCCACCCATGTGTCCGTCAGTTGCTGCTGCACGTACGTTTCGGTGAACTTCTTTCGCACTGCACGTAGCCAACCGCGCTAATTGGAGGTGCGGGGGAAAAGGCAACAAGCTAAACACGAAGCAGTTCTAGAGAAAGGAGTTTTCAATCTAGATCATTTAAAAGTGCTTAGCTCCAGTGGCTTCCTAACATCGGAAGGAAGAGCGTTCCAGGCGGCCGCGGCAGCGCATCTGAACGCGCCACGCGATGCGGTGACCTCCGTCTTTGTTAGATCGATGGCCAGCCAAAATCCGTTGCTGCGAAGAGGACCGGAGTTTGCGTGATGGTTCATGTTCCTTGGCGATATCAGCGAGGTATTGTGGTTCATTGACGAGTGGCAAGCACTTTGTTGTTTTTGAGTAGTGTGTGAATGTGCCAGCCCGTGTCTATCACACGAGCCTGGCTAAAATAATATTGGAGCGGGGGGTACCGTTATTTAAAATACCAATTTGAGTTTGCTTCGGTTATCTGCATCCCATGTGGCAAATTACATCATGGCAAGAAGTGTCGACCTTTTGTATACTTCATCACACAGTTCCCACAGCATCTGATGTAATGGGCCTTGGTGGCCACCCTGTGTGTGTGTTGAGTAAAAAAACGATCTAAAACTAAACTATTTTTATTTTACCACGTAAGTCCCACTGACCTATGTAGCTCTTTTTCAGAAGTAACCTTTTGATCACAAATGGTAGCTCAACTAAACGGTTTATCACGTGGAAATTTCTAGCAGCTAAATTCTCTAAATCCATGTCTCTAAATGTGGAGGGAAAATTGGAGGACCCGGAGAAATATCCACATGACCACTGGGAGAATATGCAAACTCCAAATAGACAGCAAGCGTCGGGTCGGGAATCCACAACCTCCTACATACCAGGCGAGGTAGTTAACATCTCACCACCGTGGTGGTCCAGCTGGCCATGATTTGGCAAGGACATAGGCCTACACTTCACTCAAGAAACCAGAGAGCACAGACTTAGACCTTTCTTGACTTACCGCTGTAACAACAAACAATTACCTGTGTTTAATAATGCACAATTTTAAAATTAACTAACACATATCAAGCGCTATCGAGGCTCGGTGCTGCTTAGCTTCTAGGGTCTTCTGGGATTGGGTGCTTTCCGTGGTGAATTAATCAAATCGTAAAATTTATTCGCGCATGTTTTATGCATTGCGGCCAAAATTACGAAATGTTTTGTTTTTTAAGATGAAGCTGATCGGAAAAGTCTAAAAACAAAAAAACAAGGGTCTCCCATAAGAGTCCTCGAGGCTGGCATGACTTCACGATCCAGACGACCCGTGTCCTTAAGCGTAAACTCACGTGCCTCTCTGCGGGGTGTCACGCGGGCACGCGCACGTTGCGTTTAAATCCGCGGTCGACATCTCGCCGGTCGTGAAGAAACCGGCGCGCATCTCTGCCGGCCATCGGTAAAATAATCTCAAATCCCGCGACGTGATCGCGTTTGGGGACGTACTAGAGGGGTTTTTTTTTCCTTGGTTTTAGATCACGTAAATAGAATTGCGTCGTTAAACCGGCGTCGTTGGGAACGTTTACCGTGGGCGGCGAGATTCGACGCGGAGGGAGAGCGCGGCGGCCACTCCGCTTTGAGAAATTATTCCGTGCCGCAATGGGGGGCGAGAGGAAAATTTGACTTTGTAAACATTCGAGGGAGCCTCGGCGCCCCCACCAGACAGCGTTTTAATTCCCAATCGCGAGCGCACGCAGGGGTGGGGTGAGGGGGGGGGGGGCAGCACAGCCCATATGGCACACGTGCCTCCACCGGTCGTCCAACAACAAAAAACACAAACCACTCCACGCACGAGAAAAAAAAAACATTAAAATAAAACCCTGGCCGTGTTTACAAGGCCAGCTGTGTGCCAGTGTCAGACCCAATCCTCCCGGTCCCTGGGTCCCACGTGTGCCTTTCATATGTAAAGAGACCCCATTTCCATGCCGTCCTTTCACGTGGACCGCCTCCCCGTAACCCTTCCACTGCTCCCCCATCGCCCCCCCCCCATTCTCTTTCTGTCGCCCTCCCCCCCCCGCCGCCCCGTTCCTTCCCCGACAGCGGTTCGGCGCTTCATAGCTCGTCAGCGGCTGCGTCAGCGGCTGGCCATGCGCCGCTGGGACTCGGCGTGCACGGAGGGCTTCCTGGGCTCGGCGCAGGACGCGGGGCTGCGCGCGTCCACGGCGGCACACAGCGGCGCCGCCCGCTCGCACGCCCGGGCACGGGGATCGACCGCCAGGGCCGTGGCCGCGGGGCGCCGAGGTCTGGCCGGCGGCGACCCCGCCAAGGGGTGAGTGCCGCGGGTGTCGCCTCCGTCCTCTAACCCCCGGCCCCCCCGGCCTCGACGGGCGGTGCCTCTGCCACGCCGCTTTGCGGGTGACGGCGGTGCGCCGCCGCCGTGGTCGAGCTTCGCCGCCAGCACCAACGCCGCCGTCATCGTCACCTCGCCTGCATTCGCCTGCATCTTTTCCAACGTGCAAATCGTCCCGTTACGTCGACGTAACGGGGCGACGTTCAGGGTGGCTGGAGCCTTGAAGGGAACACGGGGAGGGGGGGGGGGGGGAAGGGGTTGAGGGTGGCGGAGGGAGGGAGAGGAGAGCTGCCAGGTGACGTGCGAGTGGCAGCGCGCCCATCGGCAAGGGATCCTCCGTGAGTCTGTGTGGCGCTTTGAGTGTCGCTCTCCCCGTACGCGACTCTGGGCGCTCCAGCCTCTTCTCCTCCTGCCATGAGGAGCGCCGCTCAGTGCCCGTGGTCAAAACGTCCCAAAGCAGGATCGCCTGTGCCTACGTCTGCATTCTGCTTTATTCCACACGGTGTGCTTGGATCAGAAGTGGCCCTCTCTCTTTCCTCCACCGGTGCAATGTGAGAATGTGTTGCTTTTATCAGAACTGTGCCTTTTGTGAATGACACTGTGGCCTTAACACTGTGCCAACACTGCGGCCTTAAAATTAAATGTCTACTGTAATTAGGCGACATTTCTACCGTTGGCCCTTCTTCGTAGCAAATAAACGTGCAATAAAGAAGGGCCATTGCCCGAAACGTCACCTATTCTGGATCATTTTGGTTCATTATAACGCAGTGTTATTGACGAATGTACCCAGTTTTTCTTTTACTGTACCTGCGCTCCACTGCCAACGCAGCAGCGGCATCGGCAAATACTTAGCGCTCACAATATGTGCGCTTACAGCCAGTCCTCTATTGCATTATCCTGTTCGGGGGGGAGGGGGGGGGGGGCAAAGCAGACATTTGTACTTTCATCCACGCTGCCTCCACCGAGCGACGCTTCGCATCTCTGGAGGGTAGGAAGGGGCGTTTGACGTTCAGAGTGAGCCGCCCGTCTCGCGGAGCGAGTCGCGCGCCCGCTGTGATTCGCCGAGCGATGCCACGCGTGCGCCGGGCCGAGCCGACGGCGCGACCGGCTCCACTCCCACTTCTGCACGTCGCGGGCGGCGGCCAAAGCTGCGATACCGACCGTCGTCATATCTGGGGTGGAGGCCCCCCCACCTCCTACATCGCTTTCGTCGTCGTCGTCGCCGTGACGATTTGGTCAATCCGCTGTCGGTTGAGGGCCACGGCGCCGTCTCCCGGCATGCACGCGAGCCGGTTCAACCGTCGCTAGGTACCGTAGAGAAATGTTGAGCCCGACGTGGCTTGAACACGAAGCGCACTCGCCTGGTGCTGGTCACTCGGCGTCGGGGGAGGGAGAAGGCAATCGAAGAGTATGGCTCAACAGCGCGAGGCAGCAGTCGAGCACAGAACGGTGACATTAGAGTTGACGTCGGCAGCGCGGAACGTGGTGGTGGGGAGGGGGGGACGCCTGGAGAAAGCCGACCGATCGTTGAGCCATAGCGCGCGGAGCCCCGATTCTCATGACGGTCGAGGGATAACCTGACCAACGGTGCTTTTCTGTGAACGCCGTTGCCCGCCCCCGCCCCCACCGCCCCCCCACGCTCGCAGCACCGGCGGAAACCGAGCGACGAACGGAGGGAGGGACGGAGGCGCCGCCGCCGCCGCCGGCCCGGGCCGCTGCTGCTGTGGCTCGGAGGGCCCGTCCGGCGCTGGCCGCGGCTCGCTGACTCTGCCCGCGGCGGCGGCGCTGCGTCCCGCGGGCCGCTCCATCCCACGCTCGCCGTCCCTCCACTCGCTGGCGGCGGCGGCCGGAGAGAGGGCGACGACGGGGAGCGAGAGGGGGGCGGCGGCGGCGACGGCCGGAGGGAAGGGGGCGACCGGGGCGGGCGGCGCGGCCGCGGCAGCGCCGGGTTCCGGCGGAGGGGCGGCCGGATCGCCGCGTAGACAGCCGCCGCCCAAGCCCAAGCGGAACCCCAGCACGCGGCTCAGCGCATCGTACGAGGCGGTGGGGACCGGCGGGACCTCCTCCACCGGCTCCACGAGCCAGGCGGAGCCCTTCGACAAGTCCGGTGAGATGCCAAGTGGCGGGGAAGCTGGTCTCGGAGGATGGCGGGTAGTGGACTCAGATTGGTCCTTGTGAAGGGCAGGTAAGCGTTTGGGCGGAATGTGTTGTCGATTTAATTTTTAGGATTGATCTGGCAAAAAATGTGAAGGTAAAATTATTAAACTGTTTTTATTTTACCATGTAAGACCCAATGAGCTACGTAGCTCTTTTTCAGAAGCGACCTGGCTACAAATGATAGCTCAACGAAGTGGCTTCTCATCACGTGGAAATTTATAGCAGCTAATTACTCTAAACTCGTGTTAATTCTAAATGTGGAAGGAAAAACCGGAGGACCCGGAGAAAAATCCACGCGACTACGGGGAGAACATGCAAACACCAAATATGCAGGCGTCAGGGTCGGGATCGAACCCACGACCTTGCCACTGTGGGTGCCACGGTAGCGAGATGATTTTGATGATCCATAGAAAATCTCGTTTTCAGATTCATCCGATGGTACGATGTCACAGGATATGACATCATCAACGTCTTAATTTCCGTGCTCTTCTCACCAAAATAAGTGTCAGCGCTAAATTATGTTACTTTTGTAAGCATGAAGATGTGTTAAATGAATGTCATGTAAATGATCAAAAGATTTGAATATATACCTGAAATGTTCCTTAAAAATCTGAAATTCGTACCTAGCAGGTAGCCATCCGTTTTTTTTAAAGCCGGGCGACTACTCGCTCGCTCGCGCGTCGAGATTGCTCGCCGCGGTCGGTAAAGCAACCCTCGCTGCGGTCCCGCGCCCCGACAGAGCTGAAGCCGCGGCCCCACAGCGACGACTACAGCACCATGAAGAAGAACCCGCCACCCAAGCCCAAGCGCAACCCCAGCACGCGGCTCAGCGGCTCCTACGAGGAGATCGGCGCTCAGCCGCAGCCGCCCGCGTCTTCTGCGGCCGCAGGCGAGCACGGCCGCCTCTGGGCGGAGGAGGCGGACGACGGGGAGCCGGTCTACATCGAGATGGCCGGCGACTTCGGCAGGAGCTCGACGCCGGAGGCGGCCGAGTCCGAGTACGAGGAGATGAAGTACTTCCACCCAAGCCCCGGGCCGGACGACTCTTGTGGCTCGCGGCGAGGGCGCTTCGCCAGGCCATCGCGGGGCGCGGGAGACGAGGATGACGGGCCAGGCGAGGGGGCGGCCGTGGCGCCGCCGTCGCCGCCGTTCCTGGCGCGGTCCCCACCGCCGCCGCCGTCGTACCGGATCCCGGCGCCATTCCCCGACCTGCTGCCGCACCGCCCGCCGTTGCTCGTCTTCCCCACGAGCGGCGCCAACTGCTGCCCTCCGCCCTTCGACGAGTCGCCGCTCACGCCCCTGGAGGTGAAGCAGCTGCCCATCCTGGACACGGCCATCATCGGCTACGTCTCGCGGCCGCCGGACGGCGCCGGCCCGGCGTCCCCTGGCGACGAGCAGGCCCCGGCGCTCGACGGCGCCGCGAGGGCTTCCACCCCGCCACCCCCCTCCGCCGCCCCCGCCGCCGCCCCCAAACGCCACCGCGGCCGCGCCGCCGCGCGGGCCGCGTGCGACCGCGGCGTCCCTGCGCTGCCGCCAGTCCTCGCTGCCTTCGCCCAACGAGCTGGCGCGCGCCGCCAGCAGCAAGGCCCAGCGGCTGCAGGCCCTGTCCGGCGCCGCCAGGTCGTGCCCCGCGGGCGCCGACTTCACGAAGGCCTCCGAGGACACCGCCGACTCGGCGGCGAAGGCCCAGCGGAAGGACGGGCAGACCGGCGGAGGCCGCGGCGCGCGTCCCGACTCGGGCGAGACCCTGCCGGCCGGCGCGCTGAGCGGCCGGAGGGACGGGCGCGGGGCGCGGGCGCCCGGCGGGTGCCACGCGGCGGCCGAACGACCGCGGTGGACGGCGGCGTCGGCGGCGGCGGCGTGCGGCCCAGCGGCGCAAGCCCTCACCAGCCCCCTGGACGAGCTCAACAGCATCTTCAGCTCGGGGAAGCTGCCGCTGCGCCGGTCGTCGGCCGGGAGACGCATCAGGCAGTCCCACGGTGAGCAGCGATCGTGAACAGTAGAGCCACGCGTGGTTCCTGCAGGAATGGAATTGAACTAAGCAATTTTTCTTACTTTACCAGGTAAGGCCCACTGAGCTACACAGCTGTTTTTTTCGGAAGCGACCTGGCCACAAATAAAAGCCCAACGATGTGGCTTGTCATCATGTAGAAATTTATAGTAGCTGCATGCTCTGATTTTGAATGTGCAGGGAAAAACCAGAGGACATGGAGAAAATTTGATTGCTACTGCTCGATTGCTGCATCGCAAGACTGTGAGAGATGCCGGTGGCTTAGGGAGGTCTTCATGCAAATAGTGGATAGATCATGGCTGATGGTGACGATTAACGGTTCTTGTTTCTAACAAACACAATCATTCGTGTGCTGAAGCACAGCTGGTAAAACCACGAGGGTGTTTTGGTAAAACCACGAGGGTGTCTTTGTAAAACCACGAGGGTGTCTTTGTAAAACCACAAGAATGCTATTATTCTGCAATTACGTCAGATAAGCAACATGTAGTGAGGTTTGCAGATCGCACTTGCACTGTGGCCTGTGCCTTTAATGCTCCCCTTGTGAAGGATGGGTGTACGCATCGGCCCGTCGATGTTCGCCTAAATGACGGCGTTCGCTGCGCTCACGGTGACGTGAGGACACGGAACGGGTGGGCCCACTGCGAGGAGGGGCCACCTTCTCCCACCCATTTGACCCTTAGCTAACCCTCGAACTTCCAGCTCACCATGGAACGAAGACGGTGGTCACCGCATCGCGTGGCGCTTTCAGATGCACTTCTGCGAGCCGTCTGGAACGCTCTTCCTTACGATATTAGGAAGCCAGTCGTGCTGTGCGCTTTTAGATATACATTGAAAACTAATTTTATTAGAACTTGTTTTTTTGTGTTTACTTTGTTGTCCTTCCCCCGCACCCCCAATTAGCGCGGTTGGCTACGTAGGGTGGTGCGAAAGAAGTTCGACAACACACACGCACACACACAAACGCGCGCGTGCATTGACCGTGCGAATCGGAACGTTCAAAAGTCGGAAAACAACCGCGTTCTCGAGTGACACCGCTGCGTTGTTCTCGCGCGGCGATCCTAAACAGCGCCGCCCGCGGCGGAGGGGAGCGACTCGCTCAACGGGAGCCCCAGCCTCAACGAGGAGGGGACGGCCGCCGCCGCCGCCGGCAGCAACGGCACCAGGAGCGCGATGCCCAAACCCAGCAGCACGGCGCCGGCAGAGGCACCGAACTCTGGTGGGACCAGCGGGCGGACTACGGCGTCTTGATGGCGAATGGGATTTGTTGAGTCCGGCTTCTGCGTTTGAAGTTGCCGTTTGTTTTGTTGAGCCAAGCGAGCGCTCCAGCGACAGGGAGAGCGAAGTTTGTAACGGCGAGCTGGGTCGTCAAAATGACCAAAGCGGGGGAAAAAGATACTGGCTTACGTGCGCCGGTTAATAAAATAGCAAATCAGAGTTTTAAAAAAGTTGGTTGCAGAAAAAAATCGAACACAGTGCACAAACAGAATCGATATGTAATACATTTCCCGTAACAAAAGTTGTAGTGGAACAAAATACTTTTTAATTCATACTAAAATTAAGTGATTAGTTGGTGATCATAGGTTGGTGAGCAATGGAATTCTGGTGATGGGCAGAGATTTCTGTGTTACACCTTTTACCCTATACAGGTGGGGGAGCAGGGCCCTCGAGACAGAGAAACAGCGACAGAGAAGGGGCAGACGAGAGACCAATACAGAGAGAGAGACATTTAAAAAGACGTTGAAAGAAAGACAGAAGGAGGAAGATCCAATTAAACAAATTTTCGTGAATTTTAAAATGCATAAAGATGGCACTGACAATGGTTTCCAAGTTTAAAGGTGATGGGTTGTGAGTTTGAAGGTGATTCGGTTTTAGTTTGATGGAGATGTATTCTTGGTTGCTGTTGAATGGTTTGACGATGATGCTTAATGACGATTGTTAAGTGTCGTACTCTGTATCTAATAGAGGAACAGAAACCAGCATAATTTTTAGCTAAATCGCGATCTTCTTCAACAAGCAATTCTCACGGAACTGTTGTTGTTGCTTCATCTCCCCATTCCCCGATGCTCACACATGACCACACGCACGCACACAGCTCCAAATGGACCAGAGGCACCCCCAGGGAGCCGTCCTCCACAGCCGAAGCAGCAGCAGCAGCAGCCGCTGCAGCCGCCATGCGCCGTCAGCGGCACCCAGTCGCCTCCACCCATCGCCCGAGCCCCCAGCGAGGCTGCTCGCAAACAACAGCAGGTAGCGCCAGCCACGGGCAGGCTGCCCCCGCAGACTCGCCCACGCACAAACATCGTGGCCTGCACGGGCTGGTCGGGCGAGCGCCGCTTGCGAGCGCCTGCAAAGGCCGGCAGGGCCCACGACGGGGTGATGTGGACAGAATTTCATGCTCGACTTGCTTCGCGTCAACATCACCAGGCACTCATCTACGGCTTAGACGACCTAGGGAATGTCCGGGACCGGTTCGGATATCCGTCACCGTTGTAGTCTGCGAGCGGGAATCGAACTCGCGTTGCCGGGATCGGAGCGCAGTGAGATAGCCACTGCGCTAAACCGGAATAAAATACACGGGTCGCTAGTATTAACCAGGGCAGCCACGTGACTCGGAACGATTTCCTGCTAGGCTTTATCAAAGTGATACAGCACAGTATTGGGACCATCATAGAGTCGGATATTTCCTTCATTGATGGGCCCTCAAAGTCTGAGACTCCGAGTTAGAGCCCCTGAAGGCCCCTGTGTTAATCCGGCCCTGAATATGACTTGGGAATTATGCAGATAATTATTTGTTCGTGGTGGCAGTTCGTGTCCCCTAATCCAGCACTGTGGAGGGTTGTTGGCTCGCACAGATGGTGCATCGAGGAGGTGGCATATACTAGGGCTGAGTCAACCTAGGGGAGGTCAGCTGTGGCAGACAATGTAACTCTGGTGGGTTCTCGTTGCAGTGCCTGAACCTCCGGATCAATACGCACACAGAGACTAAGATGCCCCATATAGACATAACAGACTGTTGGGGCTGGTGCTGTTAGCGAGCACCTATGAAGGCCGGCACAGCACACGAGGGGGTGGGTGGCCAACACCACGCCTAGCCGCCTTTGTCTCCCCAGTAGCGATGTTTACACACCACCCCGGGTACTCATTTGAGACTGAGTCGACCTAGGGGAGGCCCAGGACCGGTACAAATTATCGTCACTGGTGTTAGCCATGATCGGGAATCGAACTCGGGTCGCCGGGTTTGTAGCGCTAACCGCGACACCACCGCTCCCCCACGCACACGCACGGGCACGTGTGCGCGTGAATCTGTATGCGGGCAGGCAGTTGTGGAAGGGGAGAGGTGCCTGTTCACTAATTGCCATCGACGGGGGGGGGGGGGTTGGGGGGGGGTGGGGGGGGACACGGTGTTCGTGGCCCGGGTGGGACGAGGGTGCCGAGACAGATGGGGCTGAAGGGGCCTCGTTCCCCCCTTCAACTCCTGGGCTCTCGTTGTTCTCCAGTCGGCAGAGGGGAGCGGGGGGTTAATAGCCGGCGCCACGATCGCCTCCCCTGGCAGGTGCGCGCATTCCCACCGGGCCCAGCTCGAGGCCGCTCGGTTAAAGCCGCGTTCATTGTCGTCCCTCCCTCCGGCCGCCCGCCCCCCCCCACCCCGCCTGAACCCCACCCAGACTGCCACCTTCATCATTTATCGTTGTTTGACCCCAGTCAAAGCAGCAGGTCACGGTGCCCGCAGTCTATTCGACTGTTCGCGGGTGCCTGTCGGGCCTGAACAACCAGAACCTCATTAATCCCTTCCCGCTCCTCGGTGCCAATTAAAATGAGGAGTGCCACCATCCAAATTTGGGAACGCGTTTTTTTGCCTATTCTCCCAGAAATGACACCTCCTTATTTATTTTTAAAGCAGAACGTGTACCCACCCACCCCCCTGTTATTCAATCTTATTCCGTGCCACGTGATAAAAAAATATGTTGCTTAAAGCGACAATTTTAAATTAGGCTTATGCCCGACGTGCCTCTTGCTACTTTTTAAAATAACGCTGCTAAAGTCAAAATGTGTCCGCTTATTCGGTTCATCCCCATTGAGTTCTCAATCACTCCCTCTTGTCAAGTTGTGGCTGTAGTTTAAGTGTCTTCAGAGTTTTATTTATTTCTCTAGATGTCTCTTCAGCGTCTGTCTCGTCTGGTTCTATGTTGCCATTACGCCAGGTATGTATATTATATATATTATTATTATTATATATATGTTCCTTATTAACCATCGGTTTTGATGCGTGACAGCTCATTTGGAACAACCCTGGTATAATTACAGCCTCGTGTGTCCTGATGCCGCGTGGCCGAACATTTGACGTGGAAAAAGCTGACGGTGCTACTTAGCAAAGCAGACATTCATGCCGTTCACGAACCTTGCCCCTATTCTGCTTTGCATTCATTTTCGTTTCTTCCGTTTTGACTTACAACCTCACCCCTCTACCCGCCCCTGCCCCACTTAAAAAAAACAAATATTTATGCAGTAAAAATGTCATCATAGTACGAATCCTTCGGTAATTTGCATCATGTAATGACTTCAAATTGTGCTTGACTACATACTTGCCAATACTCTGGGTCAGATTAACCCAAGGGTAAATATTGTTTTGTACCTGTCACCGTGCTTGTTAGAGGCACTCACACCTAACGGTACAAAATACAAATGCAAAGATCCCCCGTATAGCCTTCACTGACTGTTGGGGCAAGTGCTGTTAGCGAGCACCTATGAAGGCCAGCACGGGGTGGCTGGCCAGCACCACGCCCGACCGCCTTTGTGTCCTTAGCGGCGATGTTTACACACCCCATTTGGTACACATTTAAGCCTGAGTCGACCTAGGGAAAGCCCAGGAGCAGTTCAAATAATTGTCACTGATGTAGACCGTGAGCGGGGAATCGCACTTGGGTTGCCGAGTTCGTAGCGCAGCGCGCTACCACTCCCCTCCTACCTCCACACTCTCCATGAGACAAATGCTCTTTTCATCACACCCATCACCTGCGCCATCGAGGTATCCAGAGCAGTTGGGTGGCTGAGGAGACAAATAATACCCACGTCAGCGTACATACTGAGCCAGCACTGCTGAGACACCCTGAGTTCCATCCACTGGGAGCCATTCCACCTGCAGTGACATGAGCAGGCAATTGCAGTGGCTGCTCGTTTATCTTCTATCCAAGATACGGACATTAAGTTAATAGGGCTCACCATCTGTCGTTTGCCACTTTGACAATTCCAAAGAAATTCGATGCACTTGCGTGTCTTCGCTCACAACGATGTTTGGCATTGCCAGTCCACACCGACGGCCCTGGGTTCGGTGGTAGAAGTCATCGTGGCAAGGTGACGCTTACATTGTGCACCATTGAGCTGTGACGAGCAAACAGAGAGTCTGCCTCCCTCATTGTGTGCACGGGATCTTTAATAACATATAATTTACAGAAGATGGCACAATTTCTCTTTGCGTCAACAACCACTGCCTCCTAAGCCTGCATCCCCCTGGTATACGCCGTCGCTATTTCAAGGGCGGTCGCTCCCTCTTTGGTGCTGCTCCCACTGCTCGCGCTGTCCAATCAACCATGCACGTGATCCAGGTCTCCCTTTGTCACAGATGCACTGATTCACGGTGAACTCTCACGTGGTTTTGATAATGACGAAAATTTTTATTTATTAGCAAAATGACCACCACTAAGATTAGGGCTTCATTTTTCACTTTATTTTCCAGAACGCCGCAAGTGGCTGGCTTGGATGGAGTAGGGTTTATCGGCATAAGGTACTAACATTACTGTAAGTAATTTTGTAGTCCTATGTTACGACAATCATCTGAACAGGTTTCAATGCATGAAAACATTTTTTTTTACAAAATTAGGTGATATTTATGCGCGGCATGGCGTGGCTAAATTAATTTCTGGAACAGCGTTCCGGACTCTTCCGGCTGAATTAATCGCCGGGCACGACCATCACGAAGCTTGCGTCGTACAATACGCCGCAGTTATCCCATCCCCGTGTCATGGTGACCCTACCGGGGCCTCGCCTGCGACATCACATGGGGCGGCAGTGCCCCCCACCCGTTCTTAGAGCGTCCCACGCCGGCAAAGCCCTACGCAGCCCCCGGGGAGAACGCCGCCCACTCTCACTCGCTGTGCCGCTCGCCGGTAACACGGTCGCTCTGACCCGAGCTGCTGACGTCGCGTCTAAACAAATGTCGCAGCAGCGAGTGAGCGCTCCGTGGAGGGGTCGTGGTGGTGGTGGTGGAAGGATGTGCGGAGCGCAAGCACCGCTGCCTACTGCGAGTAGCGCGCAATTTCGCTGTGTGGGTTTTTATCCCAATTGAGTGATGTGATCCAATTTTTACATCGTCGCACTGAAAGACTTGTTTAATTCCGCACTGGCAAAAAGTCGCCGGTGCTACTCACGACAGCGGGCGCTCATTTTGCTCACGAACTTTACGCCTTTTCCGCCTCCCGTTCTTTTCTTCTTCTTCTGTTTTGACCGACGTTCGAATAACGTCACGCGATCTTTACTAACGTCCAATGTGCAGGAGTCGGCGCGCAGTACTTATGGTTCGTGCACACGAACGCGCCGCTAGTGGCTATGAGATGTTAACGACCTCGCCTGGTGCACAGGAGGTCGTGGGTTTGATTCCGACCCTGACGCCTGCTGCTGCTGTGTATTTGTAGTTTGCGGTGTGTCTCTCTCCCCGTGGTCGCGTGGATTTTTCTCCGGGTCCTCCGGTTTTTCCCTCCACATTTCTAATCGACGTGCGTTTGGGGTATCTCTATTTTGGCGTGGTTAGCTACGTACGGTACGAAATAAGTTCAACATACATACATCTGGCTGCTATAAATTTCCACTTGATAAGCCACTTTGTTGATCTGTGATTGGTGGCCAGGTCGCTTCTGAAAGAGAGCTTTAACCCTCAGTGGGCCTTTCCTGGAAAGTATCAAATAATAACATTGCTATTAAGCACGGTGTTAGCAGTTTACTTTATACTTGGTTTCTATTGCACCACCACTGACGCGTTACGTTACACGCTGCGTGGTTGTGTGCATGCGGACTTTGGGAACGATGTGAAGGCGATACCGAATGGGTGTTTCATTTTCAGTGTTCATGTTTATTTTGTTTAGCCGGGGTTAGAACTTGAGCCGAGGATGAGTCTCATTTCCAAGCGTCACCTGGCAGCTGAATAGTATACGAGTTTAATAGTATATATATAATAGTATTCTATACTAGTATACTATTATAATAGTATAGTATAGTGTACTATGATTTTATAATAGTATACTAGTATTACACTAGTATAACAGTTTTCTAGTATACTATACCAGTACATACTATTATAATAGCATACTATTATAATAGTATATAATAGTATACAATAGTATAGTATACTATTATATACTATTATAGTATATAATAGTATACTATTATAATAGTATACTATTATAATAGTATACTACAAACGAGAGTGTAATTGGCTCAGAAGCGCACATGATGACGGTATACTATACTATTAGTGTACTGTTATAATAGTAATAGTTATAATAGTATGGTGTACTGTTATAATAGTATTGTGTACTATTATAATAGTATAGTATACTGTTATAATAGTATAGTATACTGTTATAATAGTATAGTAAACTTTATAATAGTATAGTGTACTGTTATAATAGTATGGTGTACTGTTATAATAGTATAGTATACTGTTATAATAGTATTCCTTCATCATGTGTGCCTCTGAGCCAATTTAACTCTCATTTGTGCTTCAATTCCCACAGGTTACCCACGTTTAGCCAGAGTCTGCTCTGCAAGCGTGAACATGAGAGATCAATGGTGCTACCTTTATTATTGAAATGGCACTTTCAGAAATATTTTCTGTCAATGTTCGCCATTCATCAAAGGTTCTAAGGACCGATGTTGTGGTTCATGATTGATTTTTGGGGCAGGTCGCGTGAATACAATTCCAAAGTGTGTCGTGCGTCCCCTCCTCCACCCGACACAGACAGTTCAGAAAGTTGTCACGTGATGAACAAACGTGACAATTCGTTACTGTATTCTTGGTTCTTTCGGTAAAGTCACGTAGAAGGGAAACAATAAAATAATAAAAATATAAAACAATACAATTATCACGACGTTTTGACTGCAACACAAGCAATCATCATCAGGTGTGAAAACCACAGCAAGAAAATTTGAAAAAAGTCGTGAGAATGTTATTGCTTTATATTTTTATTATTTTATTGTTTCCCTTCTACGTGACTTTACCGAAAGAACCAAGAATATGAATCCCTGCAGTCACGAAAGCTTTAAATCAGAATTTGTTACTGCTTCAGCAGCATTAACGGTGTGTTGGAGACCGATCCACAGCATTTAAGTAGCTCGTTGTTGAATCTTGCTGATTGCTCTTGTTCGCGTGTGCTCTCTTCCAATGAATGGCACATTCAAGCCAGCCCAGCGCGGGTTGATTTTCAACTGCAGAAATCCGAGGAGACGTGCTGCTGACGTCGTACGCGAACGCACTCGTCATCAGCCCCCCACCCCCCCGCCGGCCCTGCTTGGCCCCCTCAAGCCAGATTCAGATGTCTTGCAAGGGTCGGCCCTATACGCTGGCTCGGCTCGGATGTGCCACTGGGAAAAGTGTTATTGTTGGACCCACCCGTTCGCCTTGGGAATCGCGACCGAGGCTGCAAACTAGACCGATTTGCTGTTATTCTCTTTGTGGGTTGCGCGGGCAATTTGTTGGTGAGAGTTGTGTGGGACAAGGCGCTACGACTGTCGCTCACCGCTGGCACTGGTGTCCCCCGTGGGCTTCGAGCCCCCAAGCCTCCTCCTGCTGCCAGCACCCCGTGTCCTGCTGCCAAAGCCGTGAATGCCGCCTCCGTAACAAAAACAAACAACAAAAAACATCGCGACAGCGGCAGCGGCAGTGCAAATAATGAGCCCTGGGGTCGGATCTCAAGGGTACCGGAACACTGACTGTGGAAAATCAAGGAGAGCTATAATTAATACATTGCAGTTATTACCAGCAAAACGGAACACAATGGCCTGTGACATGAATTGGATGGGGCTTCAACTCCACAGGGGTCATGTTAACCCCCCACCATTGAAATATCCACCTGCCATGAATTGTGCTATTTAGTGGTGCCATCCGAGACGATAAGTTGCGGTGTCACTTTGGTGTCTGCATGTCTCGTTTTGCTCGAGTCCATGCTTGGCGCAGGGGGGGAGTCACACCTGCCGGTCACAATATCAGATTGACGGCATCGTCGTCGGCCGTCATCATTGTCGCGATCGTCAATTGTCATCGATGAATCCACATCGTCGTTGTCTTCGTCATCCGATGTTGCGGCCGCATGACAGGACCATCGTCAGTCGAATATCACAATGTGTGATGTGGCGTTCCTCAAGCTCAGCGTTCTGTGTCCGCACCCTGTGCAGGGGATATTCTTCAACTTGGTTGGGCAGTAGACTTCCAGGTCGCAAGGTCACGGTTCGACATCACCGACGTCATCGCCATCACCGCCATCAGCGTCATCGGTGGGGGGGGGGGGCGCGGGGGTGGTTGTAAGGATTTACCGCGTGTGTCGACGTGGAGTCTGACGGCAATCCTGTGTGGGGCAGCAGATGTGGCAGCAGCTGAGCACGGAGCGGGACCAGGCGGCGCTGCGCGAGGTGCTGGAGTGGCGGCGCCGTCTCTGCGAGGAGCCCTGCCCGCCCGCCGAGGCGTCCGCGTCCCCGGGGACGCTGCCCGCCGTGCTGCGCAAGCAGGGCTCCCTGGGCGCCCGCGTCGAGCCGGGCCCCCAGCTCAACGGGCCCTCGGAGAACGGCGGGACGCCGACCCCGCGCCCCTCCGCCCCCGCCGCCCCCGCCGCCGCCGCCACGGCCGGCGTCACGCGCGCGGAAGTCGGAGCGGCCCGCGCCCCACGACCCCGCGATGGCTCGGCCGAGCCCGGGCCGCCCGTTGAGAACGGAGTCGGCAAGGCGGGGGAGGGTCGTGCCACTGCCGCCACTGCCGCCACCGCCAAGGCGCAGCAGCAGCAGCAGCTGCAGCAGCGCAAGGGAGTGTGGGATACCGCCATGTGACCGCCGAGCGGCCGCGGGGCCGCGAAGGGACGGGAGCCCCTCGCGACTTTTTTGTCTTCGCGCGTCGCCGGCCGTCGCCGCAGCCGCCGCCGTTTCCTCCGACGGGGGAAGAGTGGACGCTAGCGAGAGCGGCGGTGCTGCGGGTCGGCCACGTCCGGAACGGCGTGGGGCTCCCCAGTGCCGTGGGGACGTCGAGGAAGGCGCCGTGCCCCTGCGGCGAGAGGGCACCGTGTTGGGGTGTCGTGGCGGCGCGTGAGACCGTGAATTTCGATTCTCCTGGGTCGGGCCGTGTGGGGCGAGCGTCTCCTGCCGGCTTGGCCACCTCGAGGTGCCGTCCATGTGGCGCCTCTCCGCTGTACAAATTGAGATGTACTCTTGTCAAAGCCGTAGGTGTGGGAGTCTTTAAAAAAAAAAAGCGATCGTGCTGTCGGTCATTGTAACGTCATGATGGATTTTTCAAATTCAGGTTCGTTTTAATTTATTTATTATCTAGTTTACTACAAATATGCAACTGAGTGTAAAAAGAAAAACAAATATCTTTAAACAAAAAGTATTGCGGATGATGTATTGCTACCCGTGCACACGAACCTTTGTAATATTCCAACGCAGCGCTCTTGCATTTATTTGGTCAGTGGGGTTTTACAGAGGTACTTTTGAAAGCATATCACTTCTTTTTTACGTTTAAGGTTTTGCATAAGGTAGCACCGCCACCGACGATTTTGATACACCGTGGTCCATGGTTAAATATACGTATATATATTTACACTCGTGTCCACATTTTGATACGTTAATTTTATGTACAAAAGCAGCTGTGCTGTAAGAAATTTTTGTAATCGGTGTTAGCAAGCTTCTTCTGCGCGGCATTATTATTTTGTTTTCTTGGCATGCGGACATTTGTGTGCGCGCGAGCACGTGTAACCCCCCGCGCCCACCGTTCTCCTGCACATTGGGACTGCTGACAATGCTGTGACGGTCTCTACCTGCTTCATGAGAGCGCCCCCCTCCCTCCTCCTCCTCCTTCCCCCCACCTGAGCCACGTCACTCCTTACTTACTCCCCCCCCCCCCTTTAGCTGTGTGTCTCCTGTGAACGTGCAGTGACTTATTATTGAGAGGTACCGTTTTGTGTGTGTAATAACAATAATGTACATAAGTACGTTGAACTTCTTTCGGGCACCGGTACTTAGCCAACCGTGCTAATCGTAGGTGCGGGAGAAGGCCAACAAACTAAACACAAAAAGCAGTTCTAAAGAAATGAGTTGTCAATCTCGATTATGTAAAAGTGCGTAGCTCCAGTGGCTTCCGAATATCGGAAGGAAGAGCGTTCCAGACGGCCGCAGCAGCGCATCTGAAAGCCAAAAGCCGCCGCTGCGAGGATGGGCGGAGTTCGCGTGACGGTGGTTTATGTTCCTTGGCGAGATCAGCGAGGTATTGTGGTTCATTTGTGGCGGGCACTTTTTTCTGTGTGTGTGTGTAATGAGTGCAACCTCATGACGTATTCGTTCGGCAACCGGAGGCCGATGCAGCTTGGCGTGCACTGCGCGATAACGATGGGAATCAATGTTACGCGTCGTTATTTAATGAGAGCATTTTCACCATTTTAAACGTGAAGGTAAGTGACTGAAGTGACGCGCGATATCCAAAAAGAGTGGGCATCCCCTCACCTCACCCCATCCCCTTCGGTTTAAACAGAATTGATGCTGAGCTCGGATTGAGAGAAGTTTGAGAGACTGATCACAGCAACAAGTCACGAGAGAGGGATTTGATCAGACAATACTCGGGGGTAAACAACACTCCCGCTGTATTGGCAGTGATGCACAAACACACTCAACAAACAAAACAACGACATAGGCCACAGAGAACGAGAGGAGTTGGTTTAGACTGCATGTTCATCATATTTTCTAATGTATTCGAATGATCAATTGGTTTTACGTGAATATTAGCACATCAATAGTTGCCCAACAGTCGCGCGTGAGTAACTATTCATATACCAATTTAAAATTAAAAACTGCTCATCAGAAAACGTTTTAAAAATATCCTTCCGGCCCCATAGTGTAAAGTGCATTCTCAAGCCTTTATTATTATTATTATACACTCTTATCGTTCTGGCCTCTCCATTAATGGTCCATGAAGAAGCGCCACTGGCCACTTTTCAAAAAATAAAAGGGATTTAAAGTTCGGTCGACACAATGGGATTGTTTCTGCCCTCGCATTGCGAACCAGCGGTCACCACCGAGGTGCTGGCTCTGAGTGTAGCGACTCGTGAGTGAAGTCGCGGCTCAAGCTTAGCAAGTTCGTGCAACTCGACTTGCTCGCAAAAGTACACACGCAAAAACACATTTGATTAGATTTGGGTTTTTTTACCATTTGTTTTTGCCAAATTCCGGTTCTGACAATTAAAATTGTTGCTTTGGCTGTGCTGAACTTCTTTCGCTTGATTTTCTTTATTTTATTTTTCACACTTCTTTCTCTATAGTGTGGCGACATCCAGTGGCCCATCGTGTGGATTAAAGGTCACTTGAAGGGACTTTGGAAGCAGCTCTGTGACATCTCCTTTCACGGGCCGCACCCTTGCGCGGTGTCGCATGCGCTGCTCTGCCAACTGAGCTACCAGTGGCATGTCTCTGATGGCACGGTTGGGAGAAAAGTGGAGGGAGTGTTTTATTTGGTATTAGCATCGACGTCCTGGACTTGTATGGAAATAACTCACGAGCCTCAAAAAAGCCGATTTATTGCGGACCGTTAGCCGATGACGACCCGTCGCGCTGTCCTGCACGGCGCAACGTCGCGTGTCCGACCGCCGCGTATTCGCCCTGGCCGACGGACAAGCCGAGCACGCGTTGTGCGTTGTGGTACGCACATGCACGGTGGAGCCGTGCATGTAATAACGCGCGTTTCACAAATCCCACCTGGTCGCACAGCAGTGTATATTCCTAATCCCGCGTACGTTCGCTTACTTCTGCATGGCTGTCAACCCCGCGGTTTTTACCCCTTCGTCTTGTACAGGGAAATTGAGGTTTCAGGTCCATACGGCGTACAGCCGTTTCAATACGGGCGACAAAATTGATTTCGTCCTATTTGTGTTTCTCCCTTGTGATGGGACTTTGTAGGACGAACGTTGAGATACATAAGGGGCACGCGGGTGACAGATACTATCTGAATCGGTCTGTAATAAGGTAGGGGCACTGATAAGGGGTTGACAGCCAAATGTGCACGGCCAGTTAGCTCGACGCTTTGACGACCGGCAAGCCTATGTTCGTGCACCAATGCGATGATTATGTAACTGACATATTTACGCTCACGAATCCGACCTTTCTCGCGTGTCCGCCTACACCCCGAGTTCCCCAGCGAGTCGAACACGCGGCTGTTGCACTACCGCCGCCGCCCCAGCTGCTGCTGCCCCAGCTGCTGCTGTGTCCTCGCTCGCACATCTCTTCCCGGTCACCGTTTCCGGACAAGGCAGAGCGTGCGTCTCCCTCGTGAGAAACTCGTCGGCTGCGTCAGCTTCCCCTCGCACTCTCCCTCTGTCACGCTCCCTCCGCTCTCCCTGTCTCTCCCTCTCTTCCCTCTCCCGCTCTCTCCCCCCCGCTCTCCCTGTCTCTCCCTCTCTTCCCTCTCCCTCTCTTCCCTCTCCCTCTCTTCCATCTCCCTCTGTCGCGCTTTCGCTCTGCGCATGCAGAACGAGCCGTCCTCCCGGTTCCTCGTCAATTCACACTTTTTTGCAAATGAAGGATTTCTCTCTCCCCTGCCTTAGCAAAGAGGCTTACGATCCGCAGCGATTCAGAAACGCATTAACCAGGTGGGGTTTTATAACATTTCCTCTCTTGGCCGTCTAAAGCTCTATTCCTCTGGGTATTTAGCCAATAGCTTGACAGAACAGTCTCTACTAAGCAATACCTCCTCCCCCACAACCCCCCCCCCCGTCCCCCCCTCCAAAAAGGGCAGGCTTCTGATTAAGTTGCCTGTTGGTTTCAGCTCAAGTTAAAGCGATTTCCTGCTCAAATGAGCATTGCTGCGAGTGCTCAACTCCCGTGTTAGAGCTCCATGCCAGCGATGAAAATTCCACATTTCTATGACGACGGCGAGTCTGTCCACGGGGCAAAGAAACGACTGTTGGGTCCTGTTCAAAGTGGTACCAATTGTATCCACCCCCTCCTGAAGCGGCACGCGAAAGTCGCTGTGCCTGCTGAGTCACCAGTCAGTTTCGTTGCAAAGGGGCTGACGGAATCCCCCGGGTTGCGTTTTAATTACAACTCCTGCTACGGGCTGGGTACAAACCTCAAACTATCGCCAGAAGCAGCAGCAGCAGCAGCGAGTGGGCGCATCGCTTCCTCTGCCTGTAACGAGTCGCACGAACCCCATGGCGCAAGCCGCGCGTGGATGTTACACAACGTGGCTATTCTCACTCGTCCGCATCGATGGAAAGGATGTGCTTATACGTCGAACTTCTTTCTCGCCGTACGTAGTCAACCGTTGCTCTATCGGATGTGCGGGGGAAGGACAACATCCTAAACACACACGAAAGCAGTTTCAAGGAAATTCGTTTTCAATCTGGATGATTTAAAAGTGCATTGCTTCCAGTGGCTTCCTAATATCGGAAGGAAGAGCGTTCCAGACGGCCGCAGAAGCGCATCTGAAAGCGCCACGCGATGCGGTGACCGCCGGCTTTGTTCGATGGGCAGACAAAAGCCGCTGCTGCTGCTGCTGTGAGCATGAGCGCAGTTCGCGTGGTCGCGGTTTGTGCTCCTTAACGAGATCAGCGAGGTATTGCGGTTCATTGGTGGCGAGCACTTTGTGTGTGTGTGTAACGAGCGCGACCTTACGATGTCGGATCACGAGCTTAAGAGCATCGGCATTTGACGAACCATCGCATCGCCACGTCCCCAGCTGCCCTCTCGAGGGGCCCAGTTTGTGACCGTGCGAATCGGATTGCGTTACAGCGGAAAGCGCCGAATCCAGATTGGTTAGTGCCCGTGGCATTACGCCTGCAAACCCTCGAGCCGTCGCTAACCGGAGACGTTACATTCCAAGTCGCCCTCACCCAATGCCCAGGTGTGCGGAGCTCTTTCGGAATGATGAATGCATGCGCGACGAACTTCTTTTGCGCCGTACGTG